CGGGGTCCCTGGCGGTTTCGCCAGCCCTAGTCTGTGCCGGCGGATTGCGACGGTCTGGGAGCAGGGCTGGGGGTTGCTGTGCCTCGCAGCGTGCCCAAACAGGCTTTCCCCCGCCATTACTTGAGGGTGCGTGGCCGCTCCGTTGGTAGCAGAGACGCTGCTTCGGGGGCGGTTCGTAGGCCGCGTGGAGGCCGGGCATGGCAGCGAGTGGGAGCGCGGGCCTCCGGGTTTCCCTTTTCTGATCTCCGGTAAATTCATCCACACTCAGGACATTCAGCACACGGAGGAATTTTTCATCAAGCCCGAGTCCCGGATCGCCCAGTTGGACACGTCTCAGTGGCCCTTGCTGCTGAAGGTAGAGCGGGTTATAGACAACCTCGTGGCCCATTCCTTCTCCTTCTTTTGTCCTCTCTTAGTGCAGGCCCGTGGAGATACACAGCTCCTTCTCTGTCTAATCCTACTGCTAAGAAACAACATGCATGGTGCTCAAAGTAGAGACAGACCCTCTGCATGCAGAAATTATCTTGCAATGTTTGTCCAGCAGTATCATTTGCATGCCAGTTTTCTAAATTTACTGTTTCCTGTAAAGGCCTCACCAGATTTCTTCAGCTATTTATGTCGGTCTGACAGTTGCCTGTGGTCCTTGTAGACTTCTGAGTTGCTTGTGCTGAGTTTCTGGGGTGTACTGGATTTATCCTACATTGTAAAGGTTGATATTCTGCTGCTTTCCCATTTCTTTAGGTGTAGGACTTCTGTTTCTTTCTCTTTCTGTAAAACGTTGTGGTTTCATTGTTGTCTCATTTTCATTTTGAAAGAGGCTCTTTCAGTTAAATGTACAAATCGGACGTTGTGTAAGTGGGGAGATGTATTGGAGCAAAAAAAATGCTGAAAGCAATGTGAGTTCAAGAACACTTGTAACTTTTGCTTGCGTTTTGTAGAACTTTGACAAGTTAAATGTGATGACAGCACACTACACACCTCTTTCTTCCGGTGCTAATCCCCTGAAGAGAGAGATTTCTGACTATGTTAGGTGAGTGCAGTAAGGGTCAGTATGGTTTATTTTCCTTTCATAGTTAATATCTTCAAAACACTTTCTGTTCTCCATTCCCCTTGTACCTTTCTGCTTGACTCAGTGCCTTGCTACTAACGAGTAAATGTCTAAATAGGACGTGCTGGTCACTTCCTGTAAAGTTTGCTTTGTTCTGGGGTTGTGTCTGGTCTGTGGACAGACATGTAAACACTTGAGGAATTCTCTGGGGTCTTATGGAAAGTCCTTTGGCCCGCTGGGCTTTGAGACTTCTTGGAGTTTGTAGTGTTTCATTTAAGTGCATACTATTGATGAGCAGTCTGGGGAGAGGAGAATTCTTTGGCTGTGGAATATATCACCCATTGTGCACAGAACAGCTCGATATGTGCTCACTGAGGGTAGCTGTGAGGCTCATAGCTTATTTGACTGTATAGAAATACGTTTCTTTGCAGCCATGACAAATATTGTCAAAAATTTTGCACTCTTGCTGTGTTTGTCATGATGTTTAGCTCCTATTCTTTGTTGTCTTTGCACTGTAGGTCTGGATTTATTAACCTTGACAAACCTTCCAATCCATCTTCCCACGAGGTGGTTGCATGGATTCGACGCATCCTTCGAGTAGAGAAGACTGGACACAGTGGCACTCTGGATCCTAAGGTGACTGGATGCCTCATTGTGTGCATTGAGAGGGCAACGCGACTGGTCAAATCTCAGCAGAGCGCAGGTATGCTTATTGCCCAGGACCATTTATATCTAAGTGACTGGGGAGGTGTGGAGGGTTTGGTGGTTTGGTTTTTTTTTTTTCAGACTTTCTGGAGACAAATTGGAGATTTCTAGTCTTTGAAAGGGCTACCCTTGGTCTTCAGTGCTGTGAGCTTAAGCATTGCTTATCCTTGCTCCAAGCCAGTGAGGACGCATCCATGCTGTCACAAGTTTTGTATTTGTTTTTTTAGGTGGGGTTTGGTTTTGGGTGTGGGGTTGGTTTTTTTTTTTTGATTGCTTCTCTGGGGCTTGTGCTGTTTTAAGTCAGTGAAGACACTTCTGACAGATTGGTTTTTGACAGATTGGTTTCATGTACTAACTGAATTTATGGCCTCAGCCTCTACCAGTCCAATCAGATAAATAAATGTAGCTTAGATTTATTTTGTTGGAAGAATAACCAACTCTATAATAAACCGTGCCTGCTTCCTAGGAGAGGTGGTTGTGAAAATTTCTGGGCTCTCTGGATGTGTGGCTGTGAAGCAGTGTGGACCTTGAGGTCAACATTAAATGCAAGTGGCCAGTCCTGACTGCTCTTGTCATTTTTTCAGGCAAAGAGTATGTGGGAATTGTTCGGCTGCACAATGCAATTGAAAGTGAGGCTCAGCTTGCCAGGGTAAGTTTCAGCATGCTCTTAGCCATGCTGGCACTTTACATGTGAAGTGTTCAGCATTGGTGGGACGTGAGAGGGTAGGAGTGGAGCTCAGGTGTGCTCTGTGTGTGAGGTGATGATGAAGTTTATCCATTCTCTGAGTGCAGTGGTGCTGCCCTCCTGCAGCACCCTGATTCCTGTTCTAGGGTCTGGGTGCTGTGCAGCCTCCAGACACCCTCCAGTCTCCTAATGGAGAGCTGCTGTGGTGTGTGGCTGGCTGCCTGCAGGAGTGACATGGTGCTGGCAGGGTTGGAGCCCCTCTTTGCGGGCTCCATCCCCACCGAGATGAGGGATGATGTCTGATCACATGCTGCTACCTGATGAAAAATCCTAGCTGTGCTCACTGGCAGATGGGCTAGCATTTTGACCACATCACTAATTCGGATTAGCTTTATTAAATATGACATCACCAAATTATGCTGAACCTTGTCGTTTCTCACTCATGGAAGTGGTCGTAGTTGCTGGAGACCCTAAGGTGCTCCTATGTTAGGGCACAAGGTGTGAGCTGTTACTTCTGCTTCTACCCTCAGGCAATAGAAACGCTGACAGGCGCGCTGTTTCAGCGACCACCCCTCATTGCTGCTGTCAAACGACAACTGAGAGTCAGAACCATCTATGAGAGCAAGCTGGTGGAGTATGATCCTGAGAGAAGATTAGGTAAAACAGGGCTTCCCTGCCTTCTTCCTATTAAGCTGGCAGATGATAAAATTTCCTGTGAAATGGTCTGCTTCATATTCTTGGCAGATGTCTTAAGACATAAATCCTCACCACCATCAAGCAGTAACTGCTTTATGCGTTACTTTGGTATGCTGAGAAGCAAATCCTATCTATTTTTTGTACTGCTGTGTCCTTCATTGAAGAGCCAAATGATGTCAGTTAGATGGCATTAGCACTCAGTGCAAAGATGACCTTCATCTGTCACCCCAGGCTGATGGTTCTGTGAAGGGTTGGACATACAGGTTCTCTCAGGGGGAGCTTCAGGATGTGCTTCATTTCTAGTTATGTATTTACTCTTCTTTCCCATCCTGCGTTTCAGGTATCTTCTGGGTGAGCTGTGAAGCAGGCACGTATATCCGAACACTCTGTGTTCACCTTGGTTTGCTGCTTGGTGTGGGGGGCCAGATGCAAGAGCTCCGCAGAGTGCGCTCAGGCATCCTGGGAGAGAAGGTAGAGTGGTAGCTCTAACTATAAACAACAGATTTGAAATTGTCAGAGTTGCAAGAGTTCCTTGGAACTGTTTTACAGTGTTGGGAGAGGGTATAGGTACGTGGTGGCTGGGAGCAGTTTTGTGAATAGCCCCAAGAACGTGGGAGCTCTTGCCATAGACGGTCTGTAACCAAAGTGTTGAGTTCAGTTCAGGGTTTTGCCCCTGTTCTGGTAATTAAGCTTTGGGACAGTGAGTGACTGGGAAGTGCACCGTGGTGACTGAAAGTTTGTTTTATGCCACCTGTGTTTCTCGGACTACAAACCATGTATGTGCCATGAGTTCAGGTGTGTGAGCTGTCTGCTTAGCAATCTGCAACCACTTGGTGTCAGGGCATGCTGCAGGCAATGTGCTTTGTTGAAATGAACCTGGGAGATGCAGTTTTGTGTGATCTTGAACACTTCTATGGTCTTTTCAGTCTGATCATAGAGGGATCCTGCTGCTGGTCCAAACTCTAGAACTAAATTCTTTCCTTGCAAAAAGGAGTATCGGCGTGCAAGTGCTTCCCCACCTATCTTTCCTCTTACCACAGCTGTTATCACTGGCAGTCATTTCTGAATTCCAGGTGTTGGGTGCTTAGAGCATGCTTCCATGTTACAGATTGAAGAGCTGGTTAATTTAGACTTCTCACTAATCTTTGTCCAGAAGTCCCATGTATTTGTTTAAGTTTGATCATATTTCAAAGTTTCATGTGGACAGACCTTATACACTAGATCCAAGTGCTATCTGAGATTAGGAAAGTTGAAGTCTGTGGTAGCACAAGTCAGGCTGAACTCAAGCTGTTGATGGAAAGTATTCTTACCTCTTTCAGATTGCTTTTTTTTTTGATGCTTCTGAGTTGAGTGTCTGTTTTTTCACTCCCTTTCAGCACACTATTTGCTGTTGTACTTCAGCTCTTCTCTTGTGTGTGTTTTGAGTTGGTGGCTGGTAGGGGAGTTTAGAGGGGTTGTGTATTTGCAGGACAACATGGTGACTATGCATGATGTACTGGATGCACAGTGGCAGTACGACAACAACAAGGATGATAGCTACCTGCGAAGAGTTATTCTGCCGTTGGAGAAACTGCTGACTTCACACAAGCGGCTAGTCATGAAAGACAGTGCGGTGAGTTCCTGAGATAGTGCCAGTTGACAGCCAGAGACTGCAAAGTGTCCTTGTAACTTGTACGGCTAATATAATAAATGGGGGATCAGGATCCACATGGTGTCCAGTGCTGTCCTGATTGTGAGCTGTGTAAGACCTACTATGGGCCACTGCCAGATCAGCAGTAAGATGCAAGAGCCAACAATTGAGTGGCAGAGAAGCTGCTGTCCTTGCTTCAGGAGGACGCTGATGGTTATGAATGAGATGTGCCTCATGTTGTTTGCTGTGATAGGTGCTTTGCTTGCTTTTTCCAAAGCCCCCAAGTTTTATGTAGTGGACAGTAACAAATAGATACATAGAGATGTTATTGCTGGGACAGTAATGGCAGTGAGAAGCTAATATATTAGAGGCACTTTTTATTCTCTAATAACTTATAAGCCTTCCTTTTCTCTACATTTTCAGGTTAATGCCATTTGCTATGGAGCCAAGATCATGCTGCCTGGTGTCCTGAGGTATGAAGATGGTATTGAACTTAATCAGGAGATTGTTGTCATCACCACAAAAGGAGAAGCTGTCTGCCTAGGTATGAAACTCCTTGTTCTTCTTGTGCCCTGCTAACTGCAGAAATAACAGACCACGTTCCAGTGAATGCACAACAAGTGAGTCCCCCCATGCGCAAAAGGTTTAAATAGTGTTTCCTGATGGGGACTGTGGGTTAGTATGACCCGAGGCAGCTGGTGTTGGGCAGGATGTTAAGAAACATTGGCTGCATCAGTCCTTGGCAAGGTGTGAAGAGTTCCTCAGCCTGGTTTCAACTGTGTAATGCTCATGTGCGCTCTGTGAGGTGATGACGAAGTTTATCCATTCTCTGAGTGCAGTGGTGCTGCCCTCCTGCAGCACCCTGATTCCTGTTCTAGGGTCTGGGTGCTGTGCAGCCTCCAGACACCCTCCAGTCTCCTAATGGAGAGCTGCTGTGGTGTGTGGTTGGCTGCCTGCAGGAGTGAAGTGGTGCTGGCATCCTCACAAAGACGAAGGATGATGTCTGATCACATACTGCTACCTGGCACATCACACTTCCCAAGCAGATCAGTATAAAAGCACTTGAGTAGCTACCAGCTTCTGTGAAGTGACTCAAAAGGGTGCTTTGTTCTAACCAGGGTCTTCAAAGTAGCTGTGTAGGTGGCAGGTGCTGATGTACTGTACAGATGGTCTGTCATGGTGCTCAGTGCTGCAGAGCCTCATGCTCTGCCCAGACCCATGGGACTGAGAGGCCTTGGAGGTGTAACACAGCCAAGCTGTTCTATCCTGTTTGTACTGCCTGCACTGTGGTCATCTCAGGGACCTGGCCAGAAAAACATAATTTATTGGTAGGATTAGTCTCCTCTAGTTTGGCCCTGCAAGGTTTTGGGAGCTGACAAAGGAGCAGCACTGCTTTTTTCTGTAGTGGCATGGTTCCTTGAGCTTCCTGGAAGTGCTCCAGCACAAAGAGCTCTTCCCCATCCACTGGTGATGTTGATGCCGCTCTGGGAAATGGTTGGTCTTACTGTGTTTGCTAATCTGGAACTGGTCTTCTGTTGTAAGCTGGAGAGGCCTGTGCTTGTGGTGTGGTTAAGTCATGACTGACGTGCTTGCTGCCCTGGAGCAGGGCAGCTCTCTGAAGTGTTAGTCCAGAACTTGACCTCCAGTGAGTGAAATGGCACTGGTGGGGAGTGTTGCTCCTCTTTGTGTTGACAGAGGAAGAACAGGCTGAATGCAGCAGGTTCCTGTAGTGCAGTTCTGCTCTTAAAGAGTTGACGAACTCTGTTTCTGCAGCCATTGCCTTGATGACCACAGCAGTCATTTCTACCTGCGACCATGGCATCGTGGCGAAGATCAAGAGAGTGATCATGGAGAGAGACACGTATCCCCGCAAATGGGGTCTTGGTCCCAAGGTGAGCAGCATGGGAGTGTGGCCAGTCCCTGGGCAGCAGTGGGAGCTCAGCTGTTGGGATGTGGGACTCTGGGCCCCTTGGGCAGACCTGTGCCATGTCTTCTCCAGGGCCTCAGTGTAATTCTGCTGTACTCTCCTCGAGCCATGATGGTGGTGCTTCCCAGTGCTGGGGCCATGCCAGCACAGTGCTGTTGGGATCAAGGCTTTCCCTTCCAATGGAGCCTGGGCAGCTCTACCTGAGGCCCAGCTGGGGCTGCCATTGGTGCTCAGGTGTGGGGTCTTCAGGTCTGTACAGCACCAGCCCTCTGGTAAAGAGCCAAATGATGTGAAATGGATGGCATTAGCACTCTGTGCAAAGATGACCTTCATCTATCACCCCATACTGATGGCTCTGGAGGGGCTGGTCAAGGAGCTGCTTTTCCTGCTGGTGCAACTGCAACAGTGCCAAAGTGCAAACTATCTTGTGAAACAGTATATTGTGCCTGAAGGACAGGAGCAGTGGGAGCACCCATTGTTGGATTCCTCTCCCATCTCAAGCATGTGGTAGTCATGGAAATCAGCAAGTCAGAAGTGCTAGCTTAACTGCAGCTAGAGTGGTGAGTGATGCAGCTCAAACTTAAAACTCTGTCAGGTTGCTGTGGCTTATTCTGTTCCTGTACTTCAGGTGAAATATAGAAAGCTGTGGGGATGCATGCACATTTGTGCATGTGAGGTAATGTGCGCCAGTTGAAGCATCTTGGAGTCTTTAGCAAAGCCTTGTATTTGCAACCGGCATGGTTCAGCTGAAATGCAGCAGATCATTAAGCTGGAGAGACCCAGTCAAAGATATGAGCTCCATGATGTGCAGAGTCATCTTATTCTGCTGCTGTCACTTCCACCACAAATTAGCGCTTATTTACTGATGAAGATGTATCCTGCCTGAGATTTGTAGGCTGCTGTGCTGGGGGTGTTTTGTGTGATTTGTTAGAAGGTCCTTGGAGAAGTGTTAAATCGGTAACACTGTAGTTGTTGGCTTGGTTTGTTCCTGGATTACCTCCTCTTAGGCTGAGTGGCTGAAGCCCCAGGGAGGATTTCTCTTCATTGGAGCTGCAGTCTGACTTGTTGCACATTGCTCTCAGGCTAGTCAAAAGAAGATGATGATCCAGAAGGGTCTGCTAGATAAGCATGGAAAGCCTAATGAAAGCACGCCGGATTCCTGGAAGAAGGAATATGTGGATTACAGGTACATAGTGTGTGGTTCCTGCACGGTGGGCAGAGGGGAGCCCCGTGCAGTGAGGGCTGGGCTGGGTGCTGCTGTTTCTGCTTGGAGCATGTTAGACCCGGCCCAAGGCTGTCTAGACCCGTGGGGATGCATTTCTTGCAGTCCCAAGAAACGTGCTGCTAGCAGGCAGCACCAGAGGGAAAGATCCTGAGCAGACGGTTATCCCTTTCTAGCCTGTGCTTGTGGTTTTAGAGGGAGTCAGTCTGCTAAATTAAATGGGGGAGGCCTTGCTGTTGCACAGCCCAGCTGGCCCTGGTACATGCTGCAGGTCTTCCCCACACCAGCCTCCCCACTCAGGACCTGGCGTGGGTTACGGAGTCCTCGCGAGGGGAGTGGGGCTTTGTACTTGCACAGAGCAGTGTGAGGCAGCGGCTGTCCTGCTCAGCCTGAGCACCTTCTCTTTCAGGGATGCTTCCAAGAAAGAGGCAGCTGCTGTTCCCCGAGCTGTTTCAGAGCTGGAGAGGGCTCCAAAAGTGAGTATCGTTAGGGCTCTCTGGCTTTAAGGTTGTTTGGGCACTAATGAAGAATGGATATGTGCCTGTTCCTTTAGGCACTTGGTATCAGGTGCTGGTTGTGTACTGCTTTAGTTGCTTTCCAGGGAAAGGTGTTTCATATTCTGGGAGCCTAGTGCCCCAATGTGTGGTGTGGTTGCATGGCCCATTAGCTAGCTGCAGGGCGACCTGTTTAGGACCTTACCTCTGGGTGTTTTGTGTCTGGGATGTTGTACTTGGATGCAAATCCTGTAGCACAGTATGAAAATTAGGAGCTTGTACACCACACACATGTGGTGTACAAGCTGCAGCATCCAAGGAAGTATGTTGTATGGAGCCACAATGGAGGCTAATTGTGCCAGAGAACTTTTCTGGAAACTACGGACAGTTGCAGAAATGTCCATGCAAGAGTTGTAAAGTTCCCTAAGTCAGGGCTTGTGCATGCACTTGGAAAGGTGCAGCAGTGGAGCGTTCAGGGTACAGGAAGCACTAAGAAATACAGGGTGCAGTTCTGGCAGAAGCAAATCCTAGACAGTGTGCACTGGAGGGGACTACTGGCAGTCCTGCTG